GAAAGCTCTTAGCAAACCAGGAATATGTGAGTAGAAGTGAATTTCAGCAATCTGATAAAGGGCATTTATGAAAAACCTACAACTAACATCATATTAGTGGTGAAATACTGAATGCTTGCCTTCTCAATATTAGAAACAAGGAAAAGGTGTTTGCTCTTTACCACTTCCGTTAACAGTGCCCTGGAGGTGCTAACCATTGCAGTAAGGTAAGAAAAAGAAATAAAAAACATTATGATTGGGCTGAGCCCGTGGCGCACTTGGGAGAGTGTGGCGCTGGGAGCGCAGCAGTGCTCCTGCCGCGGGTTCAGATCCTATATAGGGATGGCCGGTGCGCTCACTGGCTGAGCGCGGTGCAGCCGGTCTCAAAAAGGATAAAAAAAAAACCCAAAAAACCCCATTATGATTGGAAAGGAAGTAAAACTGTCTCTATTTTCAGATGACATGATTCTTTTATGTAGAAAATTTTAGGGAATATTCAAAACAACAACTAGAAAAAAAAAAAAAAAAAACCCAGTAGAATGGATAAAGAAACTCTGGCATATTCATACAATGGAATATAAGGCACAATAGAGTGGGACAGACTACGGATACCTGCGACAATATGCAAGAACCTAAAAAACATGATGCTGAGTGGAAGATGACTAACAAAAACCATAGTATAGTATGAGGGTCATTTAAGTGAAAGTTTTTAACAGGCTAAACTAATCAATAATGGAAAAAATCAGAACTGTGGTTGGCTCTGGGGAGTTGGTGATGGGGATTGACTGGGAAAGGGCATGGGGAACTTTCTGGAGTGATGATATTTTTCTGTATCTGTGAATTGGATTTCACAGATGTGTGAATCACAGATAATTCAGTGAATGTACAATTAAGAGTTTTGCACTTACTGTATATACATTTTACAGCAAAAGAAAAAATTATAAACAAATACTGAATTCCAGTTAATTACATGCATGCCGAAGTATTTAAGGGAATGTGATTGATATCCATAATTTATTTTTATATGCATAAAAAATAAGATGTATTAGTGGATGGATAGAGGAATGAGTAGTTGGATAATTATGTAAATAGCAAGTATAGTCAAATGTTTACGATAAACTCTAGTGGGGGGTATGTAGGTGTTCACCATAAAATTGGAAAATTTTCATCATGAAATGTTGGGAGAAAAGAGCAATGAAAGAGGAAGGCTGGGAGCACAACAATTTTGGATCGACTCTGTCTTGATATCTTCCCCTTTGGTGAGACATTGATGTTCCTGGCTAAGAGTGAAGATTACCTGTGTTGTTTGAGATGATGCTTGAAGATCTCCATTAAGTAAAACAAAGTCTTGAGCCTCTTCTGTAGAGACATGACTTCAGATCTAAGTCTCAAGCCTGCTGCCTAGTTGTTTGTGCCCTTGATGTGTTGGTCTCATTGTTTCCAAACCGTTTGTCTCACACACACACACTGCACAAAGCTGAGAGATGGAAGCAGGAAGCAGATGGAGCACATATGGTATGTTCCCTCTGCTGCAAACCCCACAAGATGACAGGGAAGACAGTGAAAACAAAATACTTCCTCCTTCCAGAACACATCATAGCATGGAAAGTAGGAGAGAGTGTCATCGACAGACCAGAATTTCAAGATTCTAGAAAGATGGAAAGCAAAACACATACATGAAGGAGAACACAGCTGTCAATGTCGGGATTATTTAGAGGTGCTCCAAGAGGTGACAGATTGAAGAAATTGTGAAGCTGCAGTCAAACCCACAAAACTTTAGTGAAGTTTATAAAAGAAGGCATAGACAGAGAGGCATAGTGTGTTTGCAGACTTCATATTATAAATATACCATTTATCTGAAACCAATCTATAAATTCAGTCCAATCACAATCAGAATTCCAACAAGAATTTTTATGAAGGTGGACAGACTGAGCCTAATGTTTTTATCACTAAGACAATATATGAGAATAAACAAGTTGTTTAGAAAAGATGAACAGTTATGGAGAAATTTGTCTTTCAAGATGTCAAAACTATCATGAGTCTGTACTGAATATGGACTCAATAATGTAGGGATAAATAGACCTATAGAACCTAATAGAAAATCTAGAAATAAATTCACATAGCTGTTAAAATTTGATTTAAAATAAAATTGGCACTTCTAATGGAAAAGAAAGATGGACATTACATAAATGATGCTAGGACAGTTGGCTCTTCATTTGCGGGAAAAAATTAACCTTATCTTAGGCCATATCCAGAGGGACAAGGGGAGTCTTGACTGGGGGACAGAGTGGAGGAGACACTGCTGCTGCTGCAGGGCCAGTCGTCTTGGCCCTCGTAAGGTGACGCTTCAGGACCAAGTCTGGGTTTTTTGGTAGAAGACACCTACCCTAGAGCAAGGTCAGCTTTCGAGAAACCCAGGAGCCAGGCTGTTTGCCACCTTTTCTGTGTAGTGCTGGCACTGGGAGGATGATGAAATACCTGCTCTCAGCTCTGGGCTAATGACGCGAAGTGGGACCATTGATGACAGGCTGACCCTTGAGACTTTCAGGTAGCCAAGCAGCCAGGATATGAGAGCAAGATTGCTATCCTGCAGGGCAAGCATTTACCAGCAAGAGCTATGTTCTCATGTAGTGCTGATTTTATGTTTATTTCCTGTGTTTCCTATTTTTACTATTGGTTTGGGATGTGAGAAATTTTAGATAGGGTGACCAGTTCCCTGAGATGTAGCATTTGAGTAAAGCCCTGAAAGGAGTGAGGGAATGAGCCAGGCATCTGTCTGGGGGAGAGCATTCCAGGCAGAAGGAGCGGCGGGCAAAAGGCCTTTGAGAAATTTTAGATAGGGTGACCAGTTCCCTGAGATGTAGCATTTGAGTAAAGCCCTGAAAAGAGGGAGGGAATGAGCCAGGCATCTGTCTGGGGGAGAGCATTCCAGGCAGAAGGAGCGGCGGGCAAAAGGCCTTAGTGGGGAGCAAGGAGCCGGTGTGGCTGGCAAGGAGTGAGTAGGGGGTGGATGAGTCCAGAGAGGTAGCAAAGGCCAGACCATGTGGGGCCGTGCAGGCCTTAGTTAAGGAAAGTTCATTATGGGGCCTCCTTGGAAAGGGTGGCCAGTGAATGGATTACCCAGTAGACTCCATGTGCTTGAGTTTCATGGAAATGGAAGGCAGCAACCCAGTCATAGGCATGGTCAAGGAACTGAGAGAAAGAGACAAAGAGATGGAGAGACAAAGAGATGGGGTTTGGCTGAAGATTGAAGAGTACCTAAGAAAAGTTCTGCTTGGAGGAGTTCAGACCTAAGGCTGATCAGAGCAGGGACTTGTTTCTAGGTAAACATTTCATAGAAAGCCTTTCCGGGTGGTGCTGCAGGAGGAGGTAAGTGGGGGTGGGCTTACTGCCTGCATAGATTCCATCAGTGCCCGTGCCCATGTTTTCTCATCTTACATGAAGTGTCACACAGATGCGTCTGCAAGCACCCACACCCCCAGCACCTTCAATATAGAAATTACGGAGCCATCACTATTCTTGGGTCTAGACCTGGCCTTGTCCAGCGGGGACCATGGTGTCCATAGATGAAGTGGTGTGTCTTGCCCTCAGGATGTGCATGTCCTATGACTTCAAGGCAAACCACAGGCATTTAGTCCATTGGCAGAGTAATTTGTTGTTCTCTCAGTCTTTCATTGCTGTTCTTTGTGTCTTGAAAATAGGATTTCTCTGTGTCAGGTGCTTCATTAACCAAACTTTGTGGTAGAGGGAAAAGCCTGGGCTGCCCATTTCAGAGAACATTTTCTCATCTATTCCAATCAGAAAAGATTTGGGAGCCAAAGTTAACCTGATGTCCTCTGTCTACGATAAGTCACGGTAGCAAGCAACAGAGTTGAAGGTTACCTGGCATTTGATGGGAAGGGAGGGTGACCTGCAGCAGTTTCTGATTTGCCCACATGTTCATGCATTTAAATATCACGTTAACATTATGGGTTTTAGGCCACAATGTTAAAGTGAATTCAGATTTTAGCCCACAGGACAAGGGTCACAAATTAAAATCTGTAGTTAATAAAACCATCTAAAACAGGGGAGAGGACACAGAATGGGTCGTTGTTCTCCCCTCTGTGTTTCTGTGCAGACTTTTGTGTGGGACATGGACAAGGGTCACAAATTAAAATCTGTAGTTAATAAAACCATCTAAAACAGGGGAGAGGACAGAGAATGGGTCGTTGTTCTCCCCTCTGTGTTTCTGTGCAGACTTTTGTGTGGGACATAGTGTGTTATATTCGTTCTTGTTAACTTCCTATTGCCTTCCCTCTCAGTAATGAAAGAACACTGCCCTATTAATTATTTCCAAATTCGAGAGAGAGGCAGAATTGAGCTAGATCCATAGTGTAACTGATGACACATGCTGGCTAATTAGATTTTGCAGCAGTTACAAGGATTAACCATGCACTAGAAAAAGCCACTTATTGTACTTTAAAATGAGCTCTGTGCATGAGACTCATCCCTACATTTTCCACTCACAGGATAGAAATGTTCACAAAGTGGTTTCATGACTAAAGCACAGATAAAATTAGAACGAAGAGAGACAAGGATCTGTTTGTGCCATTTCTTCCTAAACTGGAGAACATTTAAATGCACACATTCCTTGGGTTAAACCTAAAGGTGACTCATTCATCCATTCACCAGTTCTTCTGCATGAAGTTGTGGGGAATGGTCCTCATGAAGTTTTTTTTGTCACTCAAATGATTTATTAAAGCAAACTCTTTGGTAGAAGGGAAACCTGGTCTGTCCAGTTTGTGGAGCGTTTCCTCATTTTCTCTTCCAATGCGGAAAAAAAATCCAGAGCCAAGGTTAAGCCAGTGTCCTGGTGTAAATCTTGGAGACTCAAGGTCAAGATCAATGCTGGTTTTTAGAGAGATTTTGAAATTACAATTGTATATGACAGAATTATTTCTCTGGGTGGATAGCACAAAATAACACGTACTGGACTTCTTCTCCAGTACTCTTCCTTCTAAGTTTCTTTTGTTTCTTTCTAGCACAACACAGCTGGTGTAAACTGTGACAAGTGTGCTAAGGGCTATTACCGCCCTTATGGGGTTCCAGTTGACTCCCCCCATGGCTGCATCCGTAAGTTGCATTTCAACTTGGTGTATCTTAGACTGTGCATCCTGCCCGAAGGAGGCATCAGGCTCCATCCTGATTGGTTAAAAATGTCCTTCATTCCCTTTCTCTTCATGTTATTGGTTCTGCTCCTTACCTATGTGACCTCAGATGGTTACATAATCTCTCTGAGCCTCAGGTCCCTTATACATAAATGGAAATGATAATATGTTTCGTAAGAGTAAATGAAATGCCAACCAAAAGTACCTAGAAAAATACTTAGTATTTGGTCTGTCACATACTAGGTCTGCAATAAGTGTTAGTTCCTCCATTTTCTGTTGTTTTGACATATGATCTCCAATAAATTCATCTTTTGTTAGAATTAGTGTCAAGACAGTATAGTAATGAGTTCACAAGGATTTAATAATAGTCACAGTATTTAAAATAGTGCTTTAGTCCATTTCTGTATCTTAGAATACCTGAAATTGGCTAATTTATAAAGAAATAGGATTCATTTCTTACAGTCCGGGGGCTGGGAAACCCACAGTTCAGGAGGCACATCTGGTGAGGGCTTTCTTCTCTGTAGACCCAGGGTATCACATGACAAATGGGCTGGGCAAGAAAGAGCTAAGCTTCTCATTCTGTCCCCTTATAAAGCCATCATAATTGCACCCATGACCACCCATTAAACCATCAATGGATTAATCTATTCATGAGGGTTCAGTCATCACAATCTAATCATCTTTTAAAGGCCCCACCTTTCAATTACCATAAAAAGATTTCCCACTCTCTTAACATTCTTACAATGGAGATTAAGTTTCAATGACTTTTGGTAGGACACTCAAGTCATAGCAAATAGCTATGCTTTATTGAGCATGTGCTGTATGCAAGGCATTGCCTAAATGCTTTCATGGGATGTATTATTTAATTATCACAACAAACTTAGGACATTGTATGATTATTGTAATTTTTGGATATGGGGAAACCAAAGGGTCTGAATAGTTAAGCATTTTTGCCTGAGGGACAAAACCACTAACTGGTAGATCCAGGATGTCACTCATTTTTCTCTGACATGACTGTGCCATAATGCCACAACACATTTATCATGCAGAAAAATGCCACTCATTTTTCCCTGTGGAATTATCAGTCTTGGACATTAACCTACATGTGCAACTTGCTGCCTATTTAACACTTGGATCTTTTTTTTTTTTTTGTCTTTTGTCTTTTTC